CTTAACGCAGCAAATAAAGAAAGATTTGCTTGTATTTCTTTTTTAAATTTTCGATATATTCCTCATTTCGTGAGTTTTGAAACTTGTAGGTAATCTTTGAATTGCTCTTAAATTTTTTTTTAAATATACTTAACTTATATTTTATATTCAACAAATATTACTAGTGTAAGATAAGATTCACACATTATTTTATTTTCTATAAATTAAATATAATTTTCCGATTAACTCTGAATTAATTTTATTGGCGGCATAGACCATTAATGATAAAGTTAGACGGAGTATACATTCAAATATTTCAAGGGGGCTGCAATTATACTATGTTAAATATATTCTGTTACAGGTTTATCATTCCGATTCAAAATGCAAGATTTTAATATGTGCCCCATCGAATAGTGCCGTCGATGAATTAACTAAGCGCTTAGTTAGAAGAGGCATCTCGAATTGTGAACTCTTTCGCTGGATATCATCTTCTTATTCAATCGAAGCGGTCCCAGTGGACATAATAAAATTTAGTAATATCGACTGTAAATTGGGACAGTATTTTCACCCTAGCATTAAGGAGATTTTGAAGTTCCGTATTGTAGCTACGACTATAGTTAGTGCGGCTAAGTTAGTTACATTTGCTGATTTCGTTGTCTTTGGTATAATTATTATTAAATATCGCAGATTATACAATGGTGGCACACCTACTGGACATTTTACGCACGTGTTTATAGACGAAAGTGGGCATGCTAAGGAATCAGAAACGCTTATTCCAATTGCTGGAATATTGACTTCTCCTGGAACATTACATGGTCAAATAGTTCTTGCTGGTGATCCCCAGCAACTCGGTCCTATAATTCACTCTGATCAAGCTATAACATACGGTTTTGGTATGTAGGTATGTAAGTTTGAACTTAAACAATTTCCTATATTAATACTTTATAGGAACATCGATGCTAGAGCGGTTTATGAAAACGGTATCTTTATATCAACGTGACGCCAACGGTCAGCATAATCCAAATATGTTCACAATGCTTTTGCAAAATTATCGGTCTCATCCTTATATCTTACATACTCCCAACAAACTATTTTATGGCAACGAATTAATACCTTGCGGATATAGCGAATCATATGTTGGGGAAGAGTGGCAGTTCTTAAAAAACAAAAAAATTCCAGTTTTGTTCCATGGTGTGATAGGGCAGGATAAGAAAGAAAATAATTCTCCAAGGTAAAGAATAACTTACTTTTTTCAGAGAGTGTGTTAAACAATATATTCCATTCTTTTCAGCTATTTTAATATGGATGAAGTTGCTGTCGTAATGAGTTATATAGATAAGTTGATAAAATTTGGTTTAAGAAATTGTCATATAAATGCGGAACAAATTGGGATAATTTCACCTTATACAAAACAGGTAATACATAGATACTCCCCTAATATATAGGGTATTCTGTTATCATCGAAAAAGCGCGCCGTAGAGAATGAACCTTTAGTAGATAAGTCCACAAAAGACTAAGGACGCTAGGTATTCTGATAATGGAGAACATCAGTCGGTATGTATATTTGCTGAAACTTTGACACAATGACACTTACAAGTCTAGAAAGACATCGTTTTCTGTTTTATTTAAATAGACGTAGTATTTTTGAAGTTACAAATTTTAGTAGCATCGTCAATTTCAAATTTCTCTCTTAGACGCCCACTGTTGTCACTTTACAACGCGGTGAAGTCACTGGTGCGACTGACCTCTGTGTAGGTATAAATAATTTCGCATTGTTTTGCCACACATTTATAACTAATGTGCTAAAGTTTTGTGATACTTTTAACACTTCTCAATATAACTACAATATTCATATTTACTAGGGTGTCAGATTTGCAACAATCAAGGACGAATAGTTTGTCAACAAAAAATAATTGAAGTGCCTAAAATGTATTTCTTAATCCTAAGTTTTCTGAGATTTCTTTTAACAGATGTCTAAATTTTTCTCGCGTGAAACTGTACAACTTAAGCTTTTACAACTAGAAAATTTAAAACGATTTTTCCATTCGAAGGTATTTATTAATTGAAAAATAACTTAGAGGCGTTTCGGTGACAAAGTTTCGCGACCCGTATCAATCTTATTAAATAAAATATTTTCAATTAATAAGAACCTTTGAGTGGAACAATTCCATTTATAATTGGACTAATAAGCTTTTACAAAATTGCGTTATCATATTTTGTTTTAATGATTCTTGGAGTTTTTTTCTGATTACACCTTATAAACTTCTACAAATTTTATTTCTCTAACTTTCAACCGTAACTATTAATTTATTCAGAGAAAAATTCAATCAATTTAACTACCGTGTACAATATGCACCAATAAAGTTTAAATTCTATCACCTTTACTTTTAACCATTTAATATTCTTCTCGTTTGTATTAATATTTTTCTTCACTTTTTTATTAACAAATTGAACAAATGGTAAATGAACCCGAGCATATACACATTTTATAACAAAACTATTCTTTTTTTTCGCTCTAATTAAAAAGCTATGTTAAATTAAAAGTAAATATAGCAATATAATAGCACATAGCTGATACAGTTTTTACTTTTACTCAATTAATTCTTGTTATTATTGTCAATATATTGATAAATATATCAAAAATACCAAACCTTAAAAGTTATCATTATATACGAATACTACTAAAACAACTCCCTACAAAATGTTTTAAAATGTTCCACAAGGTATTAAACGTCGAAATAAATGGTTCCAAGCAATGCGACGACCTAATCCCAAAACAACATCAATTTTTTTTGTTGTGAAGATGATTTTGATGTAACTATTTTATAAAATATAGAAAAGTTACATCCAGCGACCGTTGTTCCTACCTATGGATAACGCCACCAACCATGACACCTTTTTTAGTATATAAGCTCATACATTCTCTATCTTATTAACAGTCTACTTTATAGGTCAAACCCATGTTAGTTTGTCCATTTATCTCTAGTGTGTAGTAGTTAAAAAAATAAAATGTAATAATGGTTCCTGAATGCCGAACCAAATAAATGTTTTAAAACAATATTTTTAAAAAACCCACTCGAACATCGTACGTTTTAATTGTCATTAATAAAACCGAATATAATTTTTAAGAACATCTGTTATCATAAATATATCCACATTATGTATATTATTGGAATTAGCCCTTATAAATCCTTTTTCATACATAACTAAATAAAAGTAACTAATATAAATAATTTATTTTGCACCAAATTTCAGACATCTTATGGAACATTTGAAACCATCTTGCAAGGAGTTGTTATTATAGTATTAGTACATAATAGTACGAAGCAAGCATGCTACCTTATAAATTTGATGTTTTTAATATATTTATCAATACCTATATTGACAATAATAACAAGAATTAATTGATTAAAAGTCGAAGCACCGTATCAGCTGAGTGCTAAAATTAGTAGAAATTGGCATTGTGACGTCAGACGCGCTGGGGTTTGTTCGGGAACTGTGGTTTCGGTACTGTATTTATTTTTAATTTAATAAAACTTTTAATTAAAGCATCAAAAAACTAAAAAGAAAACCGTTGACTTGCTAAGACAATATTATCATTGAAAAGTTCAAAAAAATGCTAATTTTTGAAAAAGAAGTGGTCACAAATACCAACACCCTTACATCAGTCGAAAGGAAATTTAATCTTGCATTATACTGTGACATTGTTTTTTTATGAGGAATTCAAAAATGAAATAGAAAATAGCGGGTTCCATTTCCGGTACAATCGGAAGTCCGTCATATTATAAAATATTGTTACGTTATTATACACTTCAGTCTATACAACTTTTTGATAATTTGTTTATTTGAAGATATTACAAGAGCATTATCGACGTAAATTGTTAACCAAAGTAATTATTATCAGTCTGAGATTATACAAAATCATACTTCATTAAAAACTCAGCGAACCTCTCATTCCAGCATCGAGATGCCTGCTTAAAACTATATAGTGATTTAATCAACTTTAATACATAATTTGCTTTAAGGGGGACCAGTATAGTAGTATACGCCCTAAAAACATGCTTATCGGTTCTAGATATCATGAGTTTATTATTTAGAATAGAGGTTTAAAATTTTGTAGTGAGATATATAAAGCTTTATTCCAAAGCAAGTCGAAGGGTCCTATAAGAAGCATCAACTTTAACAACAACGACTTTACTGTATTAACAAAGTTATTAACAATTGAAATATAACGGTTCTTATAAATTACTCAGCAGCTACTAATCCAATTTTAAATCTTTAAAATCTGTTTTGTAGCGAATTTTAAATGCTACAACTTCTATATTTAACTTTTTCTTGTAAAAATTATAGTTCCTTTGCTATCAATAGTTTTAGATGCAATTCAGTAACAATTCCAATCAAAATTTTTGGATAATCCGCAGATATCCTCCACCTGCATACCTTTCTCAAGACTTTTAGAGACTAGGAAAATCAAGAAATTGATAAGTAAAAAATATTTTTGACTTTATTTACCTAAAAGGTTTTTATCTTTTATTTTTCTTTTTAGAAATTGATTTAAACGGCGTTTTTTGACATTAACTGTTTACTAAATAAACAAATAAGAAAATCACGATATATAAATAGTTTGCAATACTATTTAAAAAACCGTTAAACAACTTGCAATAATGACAATTTACCTGTTTGAGAGCGCTCATTTAATTTCAAAAGATATGTCGAAGCGAATATTTAATTTTTGTACGTTCATAATTAAAATTTTTTTTTAATCAATATTTCTAGTATCACTGAAATGAGTATGTTGTAAATGGCCATTTCGTTTGTAAAATTATTCAT